TAAAAATTATATAGGTAGATAGATAGATAGATAGATGATAGATAGATAGATAGATAGATAGATAGATAGATAGATAGATAGATAGATATAGTTGTTGGAGAACCCTGCTGTTAAGGTCGGCTCCTTTCTCAGCAGGAGCTTCCTGCCTGACTTACCTGGAAAGTGCCGCCAAGCACGGATGCTTGGCCTCATTTGAAACATGACCTTTGGCATAGTTACCTGGAGTGAAAACTACCCCCAGGTGGCTTCTGCCTCCACACTATATTTTCCCTAACACCCACTGAATAAACGGAGCTGTTTCACTGAACCTGGAGCTGTTTCACTGAGTCTGTAGCTGTATCACTGAACCTGCCTCCCGGGAAGGGCTTTCTATTGCCCCATAGTCGGATGATAGGATCCTGCTACCACATGTAAATAAAGCATGATATGAGCACTTATCAGCTAAAGCATTGGCTTCTGCCTCCACACTATATTTTCCCTAACACCCACTGAATAAATGGAGCTGTTTCACTGAATCTGGAGCTGTTTCACTGAGTCTGTAGCTGTATCACTGAACCTGCCTCCCCAGAAGGGCTTTCTTCCATCAGCGCTCACTGGCTCCCTTGAGGATTGGCAGTCTCTCCTCTTTTTCCTCCTTTTATTTTCGGTCTGAGTCTTCATGTGGGACCATTAAAGACAAAGGAGCAATTGAGGCTTTCTGATAATGGCTACCCTCTGATGTTAACCAAAGGCTCTTAGCCCTCTTAATGGACCCTGACGGCCAGCGTGGGTGTAGACAAGACCCCCTATCTATACATCTTTCTAATGCAAAAACCCGATAATGCAATGACCAGTTAATTGCTCTTAGAGCGGTCACTGGATCTCTTAAATTTGCGGGCAGGCTTGCGCTGTGGACTCCATGGAATCACCTGAGGTTTGATCCCAGGCATGTTCCTTTAGGAATCAGCGTTTCACCCCCCCCCCTTTCCTTTTCTATCTTAAACAACACCCTTAGAAATAAAATCCCCAAAGTTCTAAGGGATTTTTATACAAGCTTTAAATTCAACTTCTAAAATAACAACCTTCCTTAATCTGTTCTGTTATCTTGCCCCCTGGGGTGCTCAAGCTCAAGCTAATTGCTCTTAGAGCGGTCACTGGATCTCTTAAATTTGCGGGCAGGCTTGCCCTGTGGACTCCATGGAATCCCCTGAGGTTTGATCCCAGGCATGTTCCTTTAGGAATAAGCGTTTCACCCCCCCCCTTTCCTTTTCTATCTTAAACAACACCCTTAGAAATAAAATCCCCAAAGTTCTAAGGGATTTTTATACAAGCTTTAAATTCAACTTCTAAAATAACAACCTTCCTTAATCTGTTCTGTTATCTTGCCCCCTGGGGTGCTCAAGCTCAAGCTTAAATTAACTAGCCTTGGGACAAAAAGGCACTCCAGCTCCAAGTGCCCCATAACATAAACAAAAACAAAGGATTTAAAGCAGCAGGCGGCCAAGGAGCATTTAAAGAATTTAAGGCAGCTTACACCATACAAATGGAAAAAAGATTTTAAAAAGCCATTTTTTTCCATAAACTTTTTCTTGGGGAAGGGGCTCATCAGAGGACAACCACATGTGGAGGGCTTTCTCCTGTAGTCCTCCCTGCCCCTGCAGGCTTCCCCTTGGGCAACATGACTTCATGCCACACACACCTGGATGGCAGCTGGCTCTCATTGAGGGAGCATATGCACAGCACTGGTCATAGCCTTTCCAACCCCCCTCCAGGGGCGCACAACGTGGGACACCACTGTGTCCATCCACCAATGCAAGGCTCGCACCTTTTCTCCTTTTAGCCTTTTCTCCCCCCAAGCTACTACCAGCACATAGTTAAGTTTTTTTCCAATCCCGACTGACAGCCCTCTTCAAA